GTGCTCTCTACCAGGGTAGTTCTTTAGAATGGGATAAATATATATCTTCCTTGATTCCCTATAGAGCAGTGTTTCTCAACCTTGGCAACTTGAAGGTGTGTGGATTTCAACTCCCAGAATTCCCCAGCCAGCAAGCTGGCTGGGGAATTCTGAGAGTTGAAGTCCACACATATTCCAGCTGCCGAGGTTGAGAAACACTGCTATAGAGAGAACAACAAAGGAGCATGTGGCCTAGGGATTCCACAGAGACATCTCCACATGGACATAAACACTGCTGAATGCTTCTCTCTCTTCAATTCTGATTCTGAAATTTCGTCAGGCTCTCGCCTTGGCCAGGTTGGATGCACTACCCTCTGCGGTTCTGTGGAGGAGGTATAAAAACTTATGGAATCCAGAAAACCGGGCTGATGGCTTACAGAAGAGCAACATTTGGCAAGATCTGGAATTAATTCTATTTTAGGAATGTGGAAAACACTTTATCACAGAATGTTTCAACCTCAAAATGTTTTGACAACATCAAAACTAGCTCATTCTGACTATTCCAGAATATTTCAAGACTGGGCTCCTTCTGGAACACATAGAACCGCTCATTCTAAAGTTAGAACAATTTATTTTGGAGTTGGTATGTTCCATTCTGGAATTTTTTCATACCCTTTCAGCTATTTTATTTCACCCCTAGAAGTTTGTGTTAGCCAGGGCTTGAAAGTTCAGGCTTCATAAGCGATTTTGTTCTAGGAGCAGCAGAATATTTCTGCTTTAATATCGCCACTCACATTGTTTCCACTCATTGTAAATGAAAGGCCTTGAACTTGCAAAGGAATTTTGATGAATGTACCTTCACCATCAACTGAGCAGCAGATTAACTGTGTATTTCCATCCATTCTGTAATCTCCCTGCACGATTCCCGCCACCGAAGCAGCAAAGTTGTCCTTGAAAATTACTTCTCCAGTTCGATCACTGCGTGCATCGATCTGCAACACAGACATTCCCAAGACAGCATTAAAAGGTGGAAAAGCCAAAGTCCAATTGCAATAATTTTCCTCAAGGCAGCTCACACAGGGATATCCTCTTTATTCCAGTGAGGTAGGATGGGCTGGGAAAGCAAGCATGGCTGACGATGGATTGGACTTGGATTGCCCAGTATAGGATTGTTCAGAAAAAAAGCCCTCCTGAATTAAATGGCTTACTTCAACAAAATGAGAGCCAGTTGGTATAGCGGTTAAGGCTCCAGGCTAGGAACCAAGAGACCGTGAGCTCTAGTCCTGCCTTAGGCACAAAGCGAGCTGGGTGACCTTGGGCCAGTCTCTCTCTTAGCCCTAGGAAGCAGGCAAGGGCAAACCACTTCTGAAATCTTGCCAAGAAAACTGCAGGGACTAGTCCAGCCAGTTACCAGGAGTCAACACTGACTCAAAGGCACAAAACATGCGCGCG